ATGGAACCAAACAGCACAGGAGGGTGGCTTTGTTCTCCGTTGAGCTGAGACATGCTTCATTGGCTGCACTTGGACGTCGGTGTTCATGGGTCTCATGGCTTTAGATTAAGGGTAAATTGTACCCCCAGCATTCCTGGTGCTGCAGCTTGCAGATGGTAAATGATGCACTTTCTCTATAATCAAGTCAACCAATTGCTTTTTGGTTTCAGAAGAGTTGTAAATTTCAAAAACAAAGACTGCGAATTTCTACAGTCTTCATATAACCCACATTCCTATTCCCCTGCTATGAATATATTAGTAAGATTATTTGTCACGCCCAATAAACCACACTCAGCTTCTCCTTTGACTGTCACCTCATGTTACTATGATGTCTTTGTCATAGTGAATAAACCACACTATCAGTGACAGAAGCCAGGTACAGGAGAGCGCAGCCACACACAACAGCTTCACCTAGCCAAGGAGTTTTGAAAAGACCTACATCAATCTTTTAAATGGGGTGAAAGGAAAAGGGGCACAATGACGGAGCATTAAGTCCAATCTGGGCACAGACCTTTCTTCTTTTTATTATTTTTTTTAAATGTGTATTTGTTATTAAAAGGCAGATTTATAGAGACAAGGAGATACAGAGAGAAAGATCTTCTATCCACTGGTTCATTTCCCAAATGGCCACAACAGCCATAGCTGAGCCGACTCAAAACCAGGAGTCAGGAGCTTCTTCAGGATCTCCCACATGGGTGCAGGGTCCCAAGGCTTTGGGCCGTCCTCTACTGCTTTCCTAGGCCACAAGAAGGGAACTGGATGGGAAGTGGGACACTGGTGGTACCCTTAAGGGATCCTGGCGCTTAGAGGGAGAGGATTGGCCAACTGAGCCATCCCACCAGCTTCCAAATGAATAAAATCTTAAAGAAACACACTTTCTGGACTTGGCAGAGAAGCTTACTGCTGGGTAGGTTCCAGACCTGCCTCTACATCCCAGGGCGGTAGTAGATCCCCGGGTTTGGATGTGAATCCCAGGCAAAGGTGAAATGTAGGGACTCTGGGCTGCCCTGGAAGATCCAGCTGCTTCCTGTGGAAATGGACCACCAAGCCTGTGTGAGGGGCAGGTGTGTTATCCAGGTGGGAACGGATTTCTGGGAAACACAGAAGCATCCTCGGTTTCAGAGCTGTCCACGTGAGCTGTGGACCCAAGGTACTGGCTGCTGGGGTCAGTTCCGTACTCATTCTCTCCTGCCCTGCCTGCTGCATCCTGAATTAACTGACAGATCTGATTCTGTTTGTTTGTTTGTCCTTCACCTAGATAGGCTTCTCTTGCTGACCCGGCTCTCCCTGGGGCGGAGGCTTGGGCATTTGGGAAGGGGAAGGCCGAGTTTTGCTGAGCCCACAGGCTCCCAGCAAGACAGCGCTGCTCCCAGCGCACAGCCCAGGAGTAGGCTTTGTAGTGTGTGCTGGCTGTTTGTGTTTCGGGCCTCTAGAAGGGAAAGCTTGCTCCTAATTAAAGGCGTAAATGCCTTAATCCCTGGCCTGAGGGCTTCCCATAGCACGCATTAGCTGTATTAGGAAGGAAATGGATTGTAATCCCTTTAATATAAGCCTGGAGGAACTTGGGGGCTTCTGGTTTGGGAGAAGAATTTCCTCCTGTGATTTAACAATATTAACATGCTGAATTTGCATAAAGAGAAGCCCAGGGACCCAGCATCTCCCCCAGCTCTGGTGGCACTCTCAGGGAGGGTCTTGGGGAACATTCCCAGACAGCGTAAGGTGCTGGGTGATCCCTGCTTCACTTTTGCTCCTTTGGTCTCTGCATCCAGCCCTGTGCCTGTCAATGGGGCTGTTTCATCTATACGAAAATGCTGGCTGAAAGGCAGAGATGCTCACTAAGAAAGAAGGAATGAAAGGCCTTGGGTTGTCTCTTGTTTAGCAGTCACTCTTGGTTCCCTGGATCCTGTCCATTCGTCTTTTCTTGGTTCCTCTTCCAGGGCGTTGATTGTATGGTAACCTTGCCTCCAAAGACAGACTCCTCTCAGTAATGCAGTTGTGTTTATCTTACCCATCATTTAAACCCAAAACTTGTGTGTGATTGAAACCAAGGGCCAATACGGGATTTGCTAACTGGTTTATTTTTCATCTCTTACAAATGTAGAAAAGATTTTGCCCTGCATATGGCTGAAGCAGACAGGAGTCTTGGAAAAGCTACAGGAGTGCTGTATTTCGGAAACATGGCATGCATCATCCTGCAGATGCTTAGCAGTTGGTCCATGGTTTCATTTTGCAAGATTTCATTGTGAAGCTTAGTTTGGGGTAGAGGAAGGAAACACCCAGTGTTTCACATTTTTAAAAAAGAATTATTTATTTTTTTATTACAAAGCCAGATACACAAAGAGGAGAGACAGGAAGATCTTCTGTCCAATGATTCACTCCCCAAGCTGCCACAGAGGCCAGTGCTGTGTCAATCTGAAGTCAGGAGCCAGTTCTTCCTTCAGGTCTTCCATGTGGGTGCAGGGTCCCAAAGCTTTGGGCTATCTTCAACTGCTTTCCCAGGCCAAAAGCAGGGAGCTAGATGGGAAGTGGAGTTGCCGGGATTAGAACTGGCACCCATATGGGATTCTGGCACGTGCAAGGTGAGGACATTAACCACTACGCTGTCGTGCCAGGTCTGTGTTTCACATTTTTAAATGTAATTTATTGTATTTATTTGAAAGGCAGAGTTAGAGATTTTTCTGTTGACTAGTTAGTCCCCAAGTGGCCACAATGGTTCAGGCCAGTGCATGCCAAGCCAGCAGTCCAGAACTCTTATCAGGGTCTCCCACATGGGTGGCAGGGGGCTCCAGTATTTGGGCAGTCTTCCACTGCCTGGTGGCCTTGGACAAGCAGAGGAAGGTGTTGTAAGTGCTGGGACTCTGAACACACAAGGGAGACCCAGGTGAAGCTCCTGGCTCCTGGCTTTGGCCTGGCCTGGCCCTGGCAGTTATGTAGCCATTTAGGGAGTGAATCAGTGCATTGAAGATCTTTTTGTCTTTTTCTCTCTGTAATTTTTTTTCAAGATTTGTTTTTATTGGAAAGTCAGATATACAGAGAGGAGGAGAGACAGAGAGGAAGATCTTCCATCCAATCATTCACTCCTCAAGGGGTCACAATGGCCAGAACTGAGCCAATCCGAAGCCAGGAGCTTCTTCCAGGTCTCCAGGCAGGTGCAGGGTCCCAAGGCGTTGGGCCATCTTCCACTGCTTTCCCAGGCCGCAAACAGGGAGCTGGATGGGAAGTGGAGCAACTGGAACACGAACTGGTGACCATATGGGATTCTGGCACTTGCAGGGAGAGGACTTAGCCATTGAGCCTTTGTTCAGGGCCCTATGGGTTTTTATTTCTCCATGTCCTCAGCATCACTTGTTACTTTCCAGTTTTTAATAGTAGCTACCCTGACACACATGAAAAAGGGTAGGATTTTGACACATTGGAGGAGCCGGGTTTGTAGCAGCTGAAGCCTTGAGGAGCTGTGGTAGAAGGTGGATTTAGTCACAGCCCACTTCTGTTTTCCTCCCTCTCCTGGAAATAGATTCTATGCAGTATTGGAAAGCACCTGCCCCTGATGCTATTCAGTGTTACCAAGGTTCCTGGGGGTAGACCAGGGACATGGGAATTGACCAGCAGGTGGGTTGACCAGCCACTCACATCACAATGTGCCAGAGCCTGTGACCCACACTGTGTCTCCTACCACATAGACCAGGGCGCATCTCAGTCAGGTGTGGGTGGGAGGGTGCTCACTCCACGCAGCAGGGACACCTGGAGCATCATCATGCCTTGGCAGAATATAAGGTAGGCTCTGTGTGTCGGGACTGTTCCCCAGCCCAGGAGAGAAGCAGTATGTGTGTGGAGATGGGACACAGGAGCTGGTTGAGGTCTGACCACCACCTTGTTGAGCCATAGTTGGCTGAACAGAGCAGGCTTCAGGGAAGGGTCCCCTGGGGAATGAAAGGGAATCCTCATCACGAACTTGAGGTTCCGTGCAGAACAGAGTAAGGCTTCTCCCGGAGCTTCTGGCTTGAAGGTGATGGGTGGTGTTGGATCTAGATGATAGTATTATCTAATTACTAGGACTACAGGGCCTCATAACTTTCTTCACTTCCACCACTCTCTTCCTGCTGAGTCCTAAGTCTCGGCCTTGCTTTGAAGCAGAGCTGGGGTCAGGTCATTGGAACCTGTGTGTGGGAGCCAGCTCATGCTGGCACACGAGAGCCCTGTCCATGCGGATTTCTGAACACAACTCTGTGTCCCTGACTTATCAATAGCTTTTGGAAATGGGCCATTGTGGAAGTATTTACACGTTGGTAACTGCTATAAGCCTGCCTGGATCTTTCACCAGGACAACCCCTGTCCACCAGCACATCTGTCCTGGAGCCACCACCAAGTGCTGAACGATGGAGTAATGTGCCTGATGGGAAGACTAGACTCTGGGAGCCTGGGATAGCTGTTCTTGGTTGGTGCAGGTGTGGGGTTAGTGATTGCTTCTCCTGCCTGGAGCAGTGCAGGGCTAATCACCCTGTCTGTCTAGGTCCTGTGCCTCGCCGCGTGTGTTGTACCCTGGACAGGTGAGTGATACTGGTTTCTGTCCTTTGTCACCAACTCAGTGGACACAAGGGAGGTCTAGGCTCTTTGGGGCTGCCTCTGACTTTTTTTTTTATAAGGACAACTAAATATCTACAGTTTTCCTGGTACGTATTCATGCAGCATGTATTGATTAGGCACCCACTGTATACCCAGCATCAACTCGGGCTTTGGGATTTTGGAAGTTCTGAGTGTGCTTGCTTCAAGTCCATCACAATGCATCCTCTGCCACAGAGGGCTGTCCATTGTGCTGTGAAAGTAGAAGACAGAGGGTGTAATTTTTAGGATGTTTTGGGGAAATGACAATATGACATTTCATTTGGGTCTTGGAGGACGCATAGGAGATGGTTGTTCTGTGAGAAATGCAGCCAGCGTTTCCACCAGGAGTAGGGACAAGTATGGGGCCTTGTGGCGAATATGAAGAAGTGAGGCTGAAATGCAGAGGGCCTGGATCAGAGGCAGGGGTGAGATGCTACAGGTGGGTAGAAGTCAGCTCATGTCAGGCCCTCAAGTTAGCCCTGTCCTGCAGACAAGGAGACACCATAGGGTCGGTTGGTGTCTTTAAGCAGAAGAATGGCAAGACAAGGTCTCTTGTTTTGCATTCTCTCTTGTCCTCCAGGTCCCTGTGGAGTTAGACATGTACCAAAGCTCTTACATGATTGACTATAAGCCCTACGGGAAGCACAAATACTCCATGGTCACACCGCAGGAGGTAGGAATGCATTCCATCCTCTGTTCAGTTACCCACTGAACTCCTCTTCACTTCAGTTTCGTTGTGAGTATGGACATTGTGGCACTTGCTTATGACAACATGCATCGCCAGGATGTTAAAGGACTTATTATTATTATTGTTAATTTAATTGAAAGCAAGAGTGACACACAGAGAGAGGTAGAGACAGAGAGGTCTCTGCTATTTGCTAATTCACTCCCCCAAATGCTGCAACAACCAGGGTGGGCCTATCAGATCTAGGAGCTAGGAGCTCTGTTAGGTCTCTCACCTAGGTGGCAAGGGCCCAGACACCGTCATCCACTACCTTCTTGGGAAGGTCAGCAGGAAGCTAGATTGGAAGCAGCATCATGGAGACATTTTCCTCTTGTTTACAGAGATTTGTTCTTCTACGAAATATCTGTTCATGTCTTTGCACATTTTTTTCTCTTGTGCTACTTTTTTACCTTATTAGTTTGTAGGACTTCTTTAAATTTTCTGGACATCTTTGGTTTGTCAGTTGTGTGAGGGAATCTTCAAAAGTTCATGGAAAATATGTATAATCATGAAGCCTTTTTTATATTTTGCCACCGAATCACTATGCTGGTCCCCAAAATAAACTTTTAAGAAATGTTTTTATTATTTAACTTCTTTATTATTATTTTATTATACAATTCCATAGTCTTTGGGATTTCCCCTTCCTCCTCTCCAAATCCCATCCTCCACTGATTCCCCTATATTATTACAATAGTATAGCTCTTTATAAACAGTTACAAGCCAATTTTTCTGCTATTTAAGTGTATCCTGAGATTTAAGTGTGGACAATGGCAGAGAGTCCAGCATCCTATTGTCAAGATGTATTTAACAGTTTCATTGGGAGTCCGTCTTTGATTTGGAAGTAGAGATGCATACTGTGTTGTATCTTCACATCTGGATATGACAGTCTCCATTACACAGTTACTATACATCTCCTTAAATGAAAAGCAATAAAACAAAATCAACAATTGCATGAAAAATAGAAAATTTACAACAACATGAAGTTAAATAACATGCTACTGAATGACCAATGTGTTGCTGAAGAAATGAAAAAGAAAATTAAAAACCATCTTGAAAACGATGCTACTGTATTACCTGTGTGTCACTGAAGAATTTAATAAGAAAAAAACTTTTCTGAAGAAATGAAAATAAAAACAAAAATGTCAAAACCCATGAAATATAGCAAAAACAGTATTGAGAGGGACATTTATGACATTAGGTGCTTACAAAAAATAGAAATCTCAAACAAATGATTTAATTATGCATCTCAGGGACTTACTAAACAAGAAAAATGAACTGGAAGTAAGAAATGATAAAAATCACAGCAAAAATAAATGGAATTGAAACTAAAAAACTATAAATTACAACAAGAAAGAGCCATTTTTTAAGAAGATGAGCGAAACAAACTTTTAGCTGGACTAGCAAAGAAATGCAAGAGAGAAAAATCAAAATAAACTTTTAATTCCATTTTACCACACTGAAGTCCGTCATAGATGTGACAAAACTTTGTGGCGAGGCCTTATCCTCAGCATGCCCATGAATGCATTTTTTTTTATAGTTTCTTAAAAATTAATTTTGGGTCCAGTGTAATGGCTCAATGGCTAAATCCTCACTTTGCAAGTGCCAGCATCCCATGTGAGTACTGGTTTGTGTCCTGGCTGCTCCACTCCCATCCAGCTCCCTGCTTATGGACTAGGAAAGCAACAGAGGACAACCCAAAACCTTGGGACCCTGCACCCACGTGGGAGACCTAGAAAAAACTACTGGCTCCTGGCTTCAGACCGACTCAGCTCTGGCCATTGCCGCCACTTAGGGAGTGAACCAGCAGATAGATCTTTCTCTCTGTTTTCCTTCTCTCTGTAAATCTGATCTGCCTTTCCAATAATAATCTTAAAAATAGATTTACTTTATTGTATTCTATTTGAAAGACAGAGTTACAGGAAGGAGAGAGAGATATATCTTCCATCCACTGGTTCATTTCTCCAGTGAACTGTTATGGCTGCTATGACCAGAGCTGAGCCAATCTGAAGCCAGGAGCAAGGAATTTCTTTTGGATCTCCCATGTGGGTGCAGGGTGCCAAGGACTTGGGACCCCTCTTAATATTTTGAAGGCATATTTAATTACTTGAAAAAGCAGAATTAGGCCAGGGAAGAGATGTCACCTCTTGGCTTGTTCCCCAAATGACTGAAGCCACGAGGCCAAGGACTCTAAGTCCCCACTTGGGTGGCAGGGACCCATAACCTTGGGACGTTTGCTACTTCCTTAGTGCATCAGCAGGGCAGCTTGGACCTGACCCAGTACTCAGCCCAAGAAGTGGCCCAACTTGTTACACCATGACCCTAGCCTCTAATTTATCATTTTAATATGCCACATTTTTTATGTAGCCTTTCCATTATGACTGCCTCTTTGTAAATCTAAGCTATCCCTTTCTATCACTAAAAACAAAATAGAACACTTTGATTTTCTGCAAAATGGAACACTTTGGGACTGTTGAGGTGGCTCAACAGATTAATCCTCTGTCCTTCAGCGCTGGCATACCCTGTGGGTGCCAGTTCTAATCCCAGCAGTTCCACTTTCTATCCAGCTCTCTGCTTATGGCCTGGGTAGACAGTGGAGGGTGGATCACACACTCTACATGGGAGAACTCAGGGGAATTCCTGGCTCCTGGCTTCAAATCAATTCAACTCTGGCCTTTGTGGCCACTGGGGGAGTGAACCAGCTCATGGAAGACTTTTCTCTCTGTCTCTCCTCCCTCTGTAAATGTGCCTTTCAAATTAAAAAAAAAAAAAAAAAAGATCTTAAAAATGCAAAAAGGTAACACTTTCCTGAGATAATATGATTTAACACATAAGCTGAGGCAAGGAGATAGACACTTAGAAATTTGTCTGAAAATATTTCTGAAAAGATGTGAAAACAAGAGTAGTTGCTTCTGGAGTTGATATCTGAGAGAGGAGAGTGGGAAAGACATGGACTTTTCCTCGATAGTTTTTTTTTTGTTTTTTTTTTGCATTATTTTAGGATTTATCATGTCAGTTACCACTTGGAAGCTAACTGAGATCTTCCATGGGAGGGAAGGTGTACTCCGCCTGGGCTACGCCCCCGGGAAGCTGCATCATCCGCCTGCTCTCCCGGCCCCTGCTCACATGTGCTCTGTCTCCACAGCAGGTGAAGCTTGAAGCCCAACTCCGGGACCAGGAATTTTCCAGGCCCACTCCCAGCCCCAACCCCAAGCTGTCCGATGGATACTCTGCCTTCAAAAGATCCCACATGACGGCCAAAGACCTGGGACTCCCAGGATTCTTCCCAGCCCAGGACCCTGGGACCACGGGGGAGGATGAGAACAGGTTCACCAGCACCCACCCTCACACCTACCCCGCCCCCCACACTCTGTACCTGGCCCCTGGTGACCCCAACAGGCTTCACCAGGGCGCAGACTTCCCGTGCCTGCTGGAGCCCGAGCAGCAGCCTGCTGCAGAGGAGGGCACCGGCTACCTTCTCCTGCCGGGGTGCCCCTGCACTCGCCACCCGACAGTCAAGGTCCCTGTTTTGTACCGGTGGGGACCTTTGCTGCCATTTTACCAGTAGGGAGGGAGCGAAGACCTTCCAAGAGCAGTTCCAAAGGCACAGGGCACGGTCATATCTCCCTGTCCTGCTCCTGGGACAGAGAGGAAGGTTGATAATAAAATAGGGAAGATATTTAACTGCACTTGGTGGTCCTTCTGAGTGTGAGAGATGAATGAGGGCTGGAACGAAATCAGAGATGGAAAGAGGAGATGAGTAAGTAAGGGGAGGCATTTCAACGTCCAGTTCGGGGGAACTAATGAAATAGTAACCGCTCCTGTGACACTGAGAAGATCAGAAGTGGTTCCTAGTTTGTATTCACAAGCACCACCTGTGGGTGCAGCAGATGAGGAAGGTGAGGAAGAAGAGGAAGAAGCAGAGCTCAGACTCGCTGCTTTCCCCCGGGAGCGTCTGGCTGGGAGGCTCAGCAGCATATCCCTTGGGAGTACCTCTCACCCGTGGGCACAGCTTGTGCCATGATGACAGCAGTGATGATTTTTTTTTTTCAAATGTATTTATTTTTACTGGAAAAATTTACAGAGAGAAAGATCTTCCATTTGCTGATTCACTCCTCAAATGGCCACAATGGCTGGAGCTAGTCAATTCAAAGCCAGGAGCATCTTCCGGGTCTCCCACACAGGCCAATAGATGTAGGGCTGTGGTCTTTCTGGCCTCCAAACTCTGAGCCAAATGGACTTCTATCATCTATCTATAAATTATCCACAAGAGGAAACAGTGAGAAGACAGACATCTCCAAGTCAAGAATACTGCCTTCACCAGATGTCAAGCTGGACCTTGATCCAGAACTTTCCAGCCTCCAAATTGTGAGAAAGTGAGTTTTCTGTTATTGTAGTCACCCAGTGAGTAGTATTTGTTATGGCAGGTCATGCTAATAGTGGTTGGTTCAGTTGTTGACATTTTCCAGCAAACATACAAGGCAGTACATGTGCATTCCCTGAGTTCTTGGCTTCTGATTCAGCCTGACCCGGTTCCTGGTCTCTGTTTCAGCATGGCTCTTGTGGGGTATCTCTTGGTAAACCAGCAGATGGAAGATATTCTCTCATTCTCTCTCTCTGCCTTCTCTTTCTATTTCTCCAATTTTAATAGATAAGAAGTGAACAAATAAAAAATGTGTATCCTAGTGTGTTCAATCTGAGTTAAGTTTTGGCTTTTTAAAAAAATATTTATTTGACTTTTATTTGAAAGGCAGATCAGGTTTACAGAGAGAAGAGACAAAGATCTTCCATTCTCTGGTTCACTCCCCAATAACTGTAACTGGAGCTGAGCTGATCTGAAAACCAGGAGCCAGGAGCTTCTTCCAGGTTTCCAACATATGCACAGGGGCCTACAGACTTGGGTCATCACCTCTTGATTTCCCAGACTGGAGCTTTGCTTTGGGAACTTTGGGACTCCGTTGGGAATGCTACTCCAACCACCCATGCTGAGTCACAGCTCCATTCCATTGATTCCAACTGCCTTGATTGCAAATTTCTGGGAGGCAGCAGGTGCAGGCTCTAGCACTTGGGTCCCTGCTCCCTCTGACCTGGCTGTTCTAGACCTCTGTGGGAGTGAACCTGCTGATGGGAGAGCTACTTTTCACATAAGTAAAAATAAATTTAAAAATACCTCATGAGTGTGGGCTTCATACACAAAGTTATTATCTACAGGTCTAGAAGGTGGTCTGGACTCAGCCAATTTTTGGATAGATCCTCTGTATTCTTTTTGGAAAAGAGGTAATTTTATTTGAAAGGGTGATACTGAGAGAGGAAGAGAAACACAGAGAAATCTTCCAGCTGCTGGTGCATTCCCCAAAATGGCCATAATGGGTAGGGCTCGAAGAAGAAAAGAAAAAAGAAAGAGACAGAGAAAGATCTTTCATTCACTGGTTCACTCCCCATTGCAAAGGCCAGGGATGGGCCGGACCAAATCAAGGAGCCGAGCCGATCCAAAGCCAGGAGCTTCTTCCAGATCTCCCATTTGGATGCAGGGTCCCAAAGGCCTTGGGCCATCCTCCTTTGCTTTCCTAGGTCATAAGCAGGGAGCTGGATGGGAAGTGGAATAGCTGGGACATGAATCGGGGCCCATATGGGATCACAGGGCTTGCAGGTGGAAGATTAGTCAATAGAGCCATTGCACTGCCCCCCTTACCCCCCTTAATACTTTCAATTCTTTAAATTTCGGAAGAGGCTTTGAAACAAGCAGCACTGTCAGAAGGCCTTGTGTAGATTCTGCCATAAGGGAACAGCTCTCAGCTGGGAAAGGGTCCCAAGTGGGAAGGTGCCTGTGGGCAGTAATGAAGTTGTTCCTGATGCCATCATCCTTGGGAGCCCACTGGACCTCCAGGCTCTTGTTTCTCAGCAACCTGGTAACATGGGCAAACCACACTTAAGACTCCAATTTCTGGGGGCTGGTGCTGTGGCGGAGCGTGTTAAACCATGGCCTGTAGTGTCAGCATCCCATATAGTGCTGGTTCAAGTCTACACTTCCCATCCAGCTCCTTGCTAATGTTCCTCAGAATGCAGCAGAGGATGGCCCAGCAGAGCACAGGCTCCTGCACCAGTGTGGGAGACCCGAAAGAAGCTGGTGGCTCCTGGCTTCAGAATGGCCCATCCCTGGCCTTGGCAGGCATTTGGGGAGTGAAACCGCACATGGAATATCTCTGTCTCTCTTCCTCTTTGTGACTCATTCAAATAAAATTAAATAAATCTTTAAACAACAACAAGAAACTACCAGTTCCCTTCCTTCCTTTCCCAGTAAACCCACATGCATACACCTGTGTGATTCTTCCTAAGTAGCAGATTGCTAACACTGAGTCCGTGCTGCGGAGTAGACCAACATGGATACAAGCAGTAAAGTGTGTTCCAGTTAGCATTTCCAACAGCATTCTTTCACTGCAATTCCGTGGACACAGGTAGATCGTTAACTTTTCAAATGTATTATTATTATTATTTTGTCATTGAAGAATGGAAAAAATGAGTCCATTGTTGCTCTCATGGTTTCTCTGAGAAGTTGCCAGTTACGTTTTTCTAGGTAAATCATTTTACTGTTCACCCAAGCTTTGCCCGATCATCCCTGCTGGGGTGGGTTTCAGAAATCTCAGCTTCCTCTTTGTAAAATGGGGGCCCTTGTGCCGCTGAAATTGTTGAGGTTTCCTTTTTTTTTTTTAATCATTTATTTATTTTTATTGGAAAGTCAGATATACAGAGAAGAGACAGAGAGGAAGATCTTCTGTCCACTGGTTCGCTCCCCAAATGGCGACAATGGCCAGAGCTGAGCTGATCCGAAATCAGGAGCCAAGAGCCTTTTCCGGGTCTCCCACGCGGGTGCAGGGTCCAAGACCTTCCCAGGCATCAAGCAGGGAGCTGGATGGGAAGTGGGACCACCAGGATTAGAACTGACGCCCATATGGGATCCCGGTGCCGGCAAGGCGGGTTTTGTGATAGCAGCATCTGCCCTGGGCGCCCACCCTCGGTCTTGGCTCTGGGCACGGACTGATGGCTCGGATGGGCCCTCTCCTCTTGGGCACCCCCCGCCGCGCCTCCAGAGCCCGCGGCACTCTCCAGGGCTCCGGGCCCTCCAGCCTGGGGTTGGTGGTGCCTGCCTTGGGCGCGTCCCCCCTCTTGCTCCCCAAACAGCTTCCTGGCGCCGCTCCCGGCTGCGCCGTCGCCACCGGATTCCGTTCTCGGCCGCGACAACGCCTCCCGCAGACCGAGATCTTTTCATAGCAACCCCTGGGCGTCCCGCCGGGTCCAGCGAGGGCCAGACTCCAGGCCGGCAGCCGCGGCCAGAGCCCTGACAAAAAAGGTTGGGTAGGGGCGGGGGAGCATTCCCTGGCTTCCCTGGTCGGCCCCAGCGTCCTGCATAACAAAGAACTGTAAGATTGTGCCACTTTCAAGTTTGCATTGCTTTGCACCGCAACCGCAAACTCGGGAGAGAGCTTGCGGGTCTCTGTCCCGGGCGAACGGTCCATGGTGGGGAGTGCTGCGTACTGTCCCGTGCAGTTCTCTTTCATCTCAGTCATCACTGGTGTTTTTTTTCTTTCTCTACGTTTTGCCTCTGAACCTGTTATTGCAGATGTGCGAGTTTGCATGCATCTATAAGCGCCCCCACCCACGGTCGGGTCCTTCAGCCCTCACAACAACCCCGTCACCGGGTTATGCTCACGCCAGCGGGGAGACAATCGCAACCGCGATTTTCATGCCAAGTCTTGGCTGCGTTTTTGGCTATGTATGGGATTCAGCCCCTGAGCCCTGTGTGTCTTTTTGCTTCACTTTTTTTTTTTAAGATTTATTTATTTTCATTGTCAGATATAGAGGAGGAGAGACAGGAAGATTTTCGATTCACTCCCCAAGTGAGCGCAACGGCCAGTGCTGCGCCCATCCGAAGTCAGGAGCCAGGAACTTCCTCCGGGTCTCCCTCACATGTGCAGGGACCCAAGACTTTGGGCAGTCCTCAACTGCTTTCCCAGTCCACAAGCCGGGAGCTGGGTGGGAAGTGTTCAAGGCGAGGCTACCACGCTGGCCCTGGCTTCACTTTCGTGCAGTAGTTGAGGAAGTGCTGGAGGAAAATGGAACCCGTGAAAGCTCTTGTGCCCGGGGGCTGTGATTCCAGACCTGGCTCTGTGGGGTCAGCTGCCACTCCTCCAAAATGCCCTCTGGGTTGTCATGCAGATAAAGGCTGTAGAAAAGATAAGTGGATCCTGTAACCTTCTGAGGTTACTGTAGTTATTTCAAGGGTTCCTCACAGAGAGGAAGTCCCTAAATTCCTCTAAATCCTCAAGCAGAATGTGCCTAGATGGATCCAACATATTGTAAGTGCTGGGCTACTGGCTTTTTTTTTTCTTTCTGATTTTGTTAATTGAATAATACGAATTGCAGAAGCATTACCTCGTGGGAAAGATCAGAGTTAATGATCTGCCATCTTCCCCACCTCTCCCTACCCTCAGGGGAGTTTGCTGTGGGTCCTTCCCAAGCTCCTCCATTCCCAGGGGAAAGTCCCTCTTGGCCAGAGGAAGCTGCTCTGTG